AGCTAACCTGCCAACCGACCTTTATACTGTTGAGATCGTTTTGCTCGTAAGACCCCGATGCAAGCCAAGTCTGCCCCAAGTTGAATTCTTGTGGCCCTTCTATCTTTGGTTGCCTCACGTTTATTGTGACTTGAGTTCCGTAAATAATTCTTTCCTTGTCTATACCTCGATGTAAGCCAAGTCTGACTAAGCTGAATTCCTCGGATCCTGAGTTCCATAAATACTTCTTTCCTTTGCTATACCACCTGAAGCACACATTCGTTTTGTTTATTTGAGTAAAATGGGAGTTCTTTTTCTTTACTTGGAGTTGGAGTTGAAGGTACTATATAATGTAGGGACAAAGACATGTTTTGGAACATCATGCTCTCTCTCTATAATTTGGTTCATGTAACATTCAGTTTTAAATAGTTTACAAAGAAAATTTGCATCAACTATTGGCCATTCACTTTCTTTACATTGGACATATTTTGGGAACAGAGTTAGATCCTAATAATCCTAAGAAATTTCTTCAATGTGTTTTTAGTGAACTAGTACTAGTTGACATCAAATATTACATGAATCAAATTATGGAGAGAGATGAGCATGACTGAACACAGTTAGCAAAACAAAAGCGTTTTTCAAGCAAAACAATAGCATTTTTTCTAGCATAAAAGTAACATTGGTTTAAACAAAAAAAAATCAAAACAACGTTTTTCAACCAAAATAGTATTTTCGTCAAGATAGTGTTCGTCAAAATAGTGTTTTCCTACAAAAATAAGGTTTTTTAACCAAAATAACTTCTTGCTTTGAAAAAAGCGTTAGCTCAGATAATAAGGTTATCTCATCAAAGCCCGGATGGAGATTTAGTGGACTGCATCAAAATAATTTGTGTATACAAACGGACGCTTACAACGACACACGATGCTATAACGTCAGATGTCTTGGTTTCGTGCAAACAAGTGGGACCATTATGGCCGAGGGAGCGATTAATGTTACATTCGTTTTGGGAGGCACTCAACTCGATTTGACTATTAGGATTTGGAAGGTATGTTTTATTGTTAATAAACATTCTAATCAATAAATATATGTATGTGCAGGATCAAAAGCTCAGATGTTGGTGGTTGGGCGTCATCTTTTTAACGGCATTCTGGAGTCCGTTGGATATTGGCCAACATTTATTTTCACTTGTCTGATAGATCACGCCGAGATAGTGAAGTGGGGCGGCGAAATCACTAACAAACAACATATGAAGACGCATATGGGTCCAGATTCTTTCCAGATGCCGGTTTGGAAAAGCTGTGTATATGCGCAATCTGAAGATTGCAACGATCGAAAATAATTTCTAGACAACGGTTCAAATTCTTTCGACTGTAGCAAGTCATCCAGATTTCTATCGCTCCAATGTCTCGAAGTCGGACCGTCGTGAATTTGATACCCATTTCTTCTATGGAGGGCCTGAGCAGATTATGCATGGGAATACATTTCACGTTTCATGTAACTCGACCTTTGTATTTCTATGTTTATTGGTTTTTATTTGTTTAGTTTCGTCTTTTTTTTTATATTCTGTGATCTCAAATTAAAACTATTTAGTTTGGTTTAAATGTAATATAAACGATTTATTATGTACAAATAGGTTTCAACTACCAAATCCATACATATATTAAATTATACATCATCTTAATAACTAATGCATGTGGAGAACAGAAGCATTTTGTAAATCAAACAGTAGAAAAATCAGCAATTTAGAGCATGTACATTGGTAAGAACCCAATTAGGGGTTGTTAACAATTTTATAATATTAAACCAATAATAAAGTTAGTTTAGAACTTCATAATTGTTTTTAAAAAAATTTCTCCTCCATTGGTTAGAACCCCAAAAGGGTACTTAAAAAAAATTGTTCTTGTGACAAAAGTAATAATATGTTCTTGACAAACATCCAAATGAATAGATTGGCGTTTAATTTACATTAATACAAGAATCTCTCTTCTTCAAATCATATAAAAAACCAACTAATACACATTTCGTTTCGACTTTCCTAGTGTTCGACAAAGAGAACAATGCCATGTACTACAAGGATCGTGCATCCCTAAACGAATCAAATACACATTAGAACATGTGCAGCAAACTTTCTAAGATAACACAACGGAAAACAGATTTCATAAGCAAAATAAAATATCAGAGTGCAAAAGATGAGATTGAGATGGAAGAAACAAAACTTTGTACCATCTGTTTAACTTGTTCTATCCTTCCAGCTCCAAAAGTGTGTCCACAAGGCAAAATCATAGCATCAACCATCAAAACCCCTCTACAAATTTTGCAAAGAGACAAGAACAGAGTTTAGATTAACCACAAGCAAAGATCAACACTAATCCAACTCTCACATACAAAATAAACCAATTAAGAGAAAAGATACAAATCTTTTTCACTTCTTAAGAGTTCTTATGTTTGTAATTCCAAAACCATATACATGAATAAGTTCACTAAACCAAGTTTCAGAAAATACATCATCTTCTCTTCAATTATTGGAGATTTTCAAGAGGTACCAAATCGAAAGAGCTAAGAACTGATAACAAACCAAACCAAACAATTTATTTACCTTCTTTCCTCGAAAGACAACATTTGGCTCTCCTTGGATCACCATGTACTTATTGCCACCAAGGAACAATCCTGTTGGGGGCAAGTGTTCCAAGTTCAACATAATCTTTGTTGATTCCTTCGATTTCCTCAGGCTTCAACTAAAACAACAACAATACTAAATCGATAAGAGAAACATACACTCGTAGAACAAGAAAATTTCAATTTATCATCAGATTCCATGAAAGCAAACTACAAACAACATAATTCACGAATGTCTGAATCAGGAAACCAAACTCAATTTCCATTTCCAAAATTACAACTTCTTCCTACTGCATCCTTTTACAGGTTTCAACACAGATCCAACCAAAATCAGAGAACTCTACTCGAATCAAACAGTTAAAGCAAATAAGAATCAGTCCTACTTGGTACTGGCATAACCGGGAATGAAAGTGATGCTCTCTCCGACATCATTGACAACACCAAGCATCGTGAGTTGTTGCTGATTGTAACCCAACACCGATTTCAGATTCCGACGGAGATTTCGACCCAAACCGCCNCAGATAAACTAATCCACGGTGGTCGGCGTTCTGATTTGGTTCTTGCAGAGCATGTTTCTGATGAAATTGCCTGAAATTGCCTTAATATATGTGATCTATTAAGATAGGCCAAAACCCCATGAACTTTATATAATTTTGAATTTCTCCCATAACCTATTAAAATTTGGTCAATTTACATAAACATGTAGATGGAATCTATTTTTCGTTAACAGATGGTGACGTGGATTACATGTGGCTAACAGGGTTCGATTCGGTTTAAAGTTGAACAAAATCAATTGGTTTGTTGCCTGTTTTGACACTCAAACGGCGTCGTTTTTCATTTCGGAAAAAAAAACAAAATTAGGGGTTTAATCCTTCAATCACTTATTTTGTAGAGAGTGCGAGGCAGGTCGTGTTAGAGAGGTAGAGAGATAGAAAGAAAGTGAGAGGTAGGGAGAAATCAAAACTCTTTGTGTGTCTCGATTGAAATCGATTTTCAGAGAGTTGTTTTCCCGACATAGGTGTGTTTAAACCGGCGAGACACACAGAGCGAAATCTATTGAAAAAAAAAAAATCTTTAGTTTTTCGGATCTTGAGACGTTGTTGTAAAAAAAAAAAAAGAGAGAGGTCCTATATATATAACTTTTCGTCCTAGAAAATTTTGTAACTATTAAATGCTTTTCCATATTTTGGCAAAAGAATCATTTGACTTAAAATCTGAATATTTATCTGTATCTAATATAACTGTCCAATTTGGTCAAAGAAAATTTAATACATACTTATTATTACTATGAGAAATAACATTTTAAATTAAATGTAAAAATTTTACAACAACTTTCCATCATTATAGAG